TGATTTTTTAGAAAATTTCCTGTCTTTTTTGACACTTTACTTTATTTTTATATTTTTTTTGCATTTTTTGACACTTTATTTTATTTTTTCCTTTTTCATTTTCCTATTTAAAAATTTCCCCTTTAATTTTCTCTCTTTTTTTTTGGATTTATTATTGTTCTTTTTTTACTTTTATTTGATTTTTAATATTTTGGAAATTTTGGATATTTTATTTTTTCACTTTTTTCTCTTTTTTTCTTCCCCTTCTTTTTTATTTTTCTCTCCTTTATCTATATATATATTTTTAATTTTCATTTACATATATTTTTTCTTAGCTAAACCTTTCTACCCGTTTTACATTCAATTTTTTTGTTTGCTTTTTATTTTATTTTTGGATTTTTCAAATTTTTTTATATTTTTTGTTTTCTTTTCATTTTTCATATATTTATTTTTTCTTCTCTTTTTTTTGTTGTTTTAGTTTTTTACTCTTGATTTGTTTGTTTATTTTTGACATTTTTATCCTTTTTTTTATATTTTTTATTTTGTTATTATTTAATGTGGGTCCCACAAGGGGCATGCAAGCAAACAAAGTAGAGGTGGCTAACACCCTAACTGACTAGGCTAACATGTGGACAGTGATGCATGAGAGGAGAGTTTGACACCTAGACTCAAGGTTCTAACAAGGTTGTCAGCCTTCAAACCTCCACCCGTCGAACAAATGGGCCTCTCCGGTTGGTGGCTGATTTGTGGGTTGTCGGTGCGGTCCAAATGGCCCAACACCTACTGGCCCCTTCCTAATACGAAATAGGACAGTAGAATCTAATGCAAATGGTGTGTGCAATTAGTGAGTGAGGTCAAGCATGCAAAAGGTGAAGAGAAACATAGTTGAATACATCATCACATATAAATATAAATAACAAGATCAATAAGAAACTAAACATTAAGCAAACTGCACACTCATTAACAACAAGTCACACCAAAGAGATATTTACATACCTTGAACTTTCAACCTAGGAGAGTATACTTATTTGGAATGTAAAATTATTGGATGCAAATCCCGCTTTTTATTTTCTTATCCTAAACATTAATATTTGCTTTTTTATTTTGACTTGAATTTTCTTTTCTTTGTTTATTTTCCATTTTACATTATTTTTGTCTTTTGTCTTGAATCTTGAACACATTTCAGCCTAAGACACTTTTTATTCAACTCCCAGTAAGGCTTAAATTGTTTAGTCTAAGTAAGTTTTCAAGGCTTATTCATGCATTACAATATTACTTTTCTTAAAAGATTTTAAGTCCTCTTCCCATTTTTAGCATTTGATCATGTGTATCCTCAAAGAATAGTGCTATAAATTCTCCCAATCACACCCACAATGAGAAAGTTAACCAAGTTCAAGAAAGCCAACTCTACCTAAAAGACTAGAAACTCAATCCTATTTTAGCATGTCAAATCAACAAATTTCAAAGGAGCAATGCTGAAACTTCTTCTAATGTCTCCCAAAATAAGCATGTTCAAGGCTCAATTACTTCAAAGAAAATACTTGCCAAACTAAATCAACCTACGTTTCTCTTTTATTGCTTATTATTAAGAAAAAAAGAAAAAAGAGTTGAACTTCTTCCCAAAAGCTGATTTATTTCATGTTACAATACACAAGACCTAATGAATCTCATTTGTTGGTATTTTATTCATGATCATACTAGGAACATCCTATTAAGCCTCCACCTACTAACTAACCTGAAGCTAAGAAATCCCATAACTCTCATCCTAAATTCCACCTTGCATGTATTATTCAATAGTCTTGAGTTTGACATTTGTAGCTTACCTCATCATAGAACCCCATCCCCCAAAAGTTTATTTCTCAAGGCATTAACTCCATCGTTTAGGTGAGGATTCTCATTTCCGCATGAATAAGTTTTCAAGACAAAGCTCATGAATATTAACTTCTCAACATCTTCATTTAATGAAGGGATCATCATGCTTTCCATAAGTATCAATATTTCAATAAGCAACAAGAAGCATGTCATTTCATTAATCAAAATGGACCTCCATATCAATACATCCATGACAAATGAGCTCAAAAACCACATAGAACTTCCTATTTCAGCATGGGATACTTTTAGAATTCCCCTTTGTTCAAACATTAGGGGCCTAAAAGTACCCACAATCCTGAAATTTCAGCAACAAACACATTTCTAAACCAAGTATTCTTCAAATATTTGAATCCAAAATGAGACCAAGAAACTAGAAATTTCAGCCATGAAAGTGCTTTCAACATAACCACCCCTTCACACTCTTAAAACCACAAGAAACTTAAACCCAGAATTTTCAATAGTAAGAAAGCTTCTAAAAATAACAATCTTCACAATCTTGAATTAACATGAACCCAGAATCTGAAGATTTCAGCAATGAGAATGTTTTTGAAAAACAACCTTTTATGCTCTTGAATCAACCCAGAATTTTCAGACATAAACTCACTCCCCAAACCCAGAATTTTCAAGCACTTGAACCCAAATGAACCCCAAAACACAAAGATTTCAGCAAGGTAATGGTTTTGAAAACTCTTCATTTTCCACATTTTAAGATCAAAGGGAAAAACATAACCCAGAAATCTTAAGCATAAACGTACTTCTAAACCCAGAATTTCCGAGCACTTGAACCCAAATGAACCCCAAAACACAAAGATTTCAGCAAGGTAAATGCATTGAAAAAATCATAATTTCTCATGTTGGAGTCAAAGAGATCCCAAAGGCTGAAAATTTCAGCAATGAAGATGGTTTCAAGAAGCTCGCATTGACCTTCAAAATTACTCAATTTCAGTTTAACATTCATATGCAAAAACATTCAAGAAACAACAATTCTAAGTTATGTTAGTGTAGCATGCTTCCAAAGCAATGTCATAATCAAACCCTATCCAAATTCATGTACAAAACTCTTCTAGACTAGGATTTAATACCATTGACAATCTATGAAGTAAAAAAAAAAAAAAAAAAAAAGATAAAATGATCAAGAGAGTGGTGCTTACCTCTTTGGAAATTCTAGACCCTAGCCATAAGCATCAAGAAAAGACATCCATGCCTTCTCAAGTAAGAGCCATGCTCCTCATGTGAAATGGTTCATTGTCAACCCATTGAGTTTAAGTATGCATGTACTTTCAAAATTCCTCAAACAATTTGCATGTTAATTCACCAAATAAAGGAATTGTGAGAGAAAGTACACATATGGAATTCAATTTCCGTTTTCCTTCATTGTTTTAGCATTCATTCTCCCACAACTTTCCTCCATCCTCACATTCATTTTCTTTTTTCCTCACAGGAATTAAAATAGGGGATAGGGATAGGGAACATGCAATTTGTTGACAGTACTAACCACTTCCCCACATTCAACTTGAACTTTGTCTCTCAACACAACATGTAATTCTACTATCCAGACACGAGTGACATAAGAGCATGCAAGAGACTTATTCTCTACAGCCTAATTCAAGAAAGTAATATGCATAAACAAAGCAAATTTCCTAATCCAAATTCAGGTAAATCAAAACTTGAGAAACTAAGAAGCAATCCATTCAATTGATGCAAGTAGACTGATTATGCAAGACAAGAAAAAGAAAAAATAAAATAAAATAAAGAAAGAAATCAACAAACCAAAAATGGGACAAGAGAGTCACACTTATTATCAACAAAGTAACATAAGAAGCATTGCATTCAATAATCTAAACAAGTGGCAAGAAAAATAGGATTATTTCCAACAGAAAAAAAAGAAAAAAGAAAAACCCATTGGGCACCCCATGTGGGCCCCACCTATGGTCCAAGAACTCCCCAGTGGAGTTGCCAGTTTGTGAGCATCGAAAAAACCGGTCACTTGTCACTTGGGCTGAAAACGGAGTCGCCACCCATCAGTTATGGAAATGGAGGTGATGGGACCTCCGAGAATGGCATAAAAAATATTTTAGTTCGATAGTGACTCCAAGACCCAAAGCACTGGCTAAAGTAGTCCGAGTGAGACTTGGATGGGAGAGGGAAGGGGTTAAGCACCCCTCTCCTGGGTCCAATAGGTGGGGCCCACATGGTATCCCCAATAAACAAGCATAAACCACTATGATAATAAGAACCAAGCACCAAAGCAAGCCAATACAAAAGGGAAATTGTTAGTTCTCATTATTTTCCATTTATATATTTTTTATTTTTTATTGTTTGTTTCACTTATTTATTTATTTTTTATCAACTTTTTATTTATTTGTCTTTTATTTTTCTTATAAAAAACCTATTTGTAATTTTTTTTGGAATCACTTTTACTATTATTTTATTTACTTATTTTTCATCTTTTGTGTGTTTTTTTTTAATATTTCTGATCTATCAAATTAAGCATCTTGTACCAGTGATCCAAACTCGCCATTACAGATTTCTAAGCTCCTATTTTGTTTTTTTATATATCATATCTATTTGTTTTATTTTTTATTTTTGGTTTATTTTGCTTGTTGCAACCAAAGAGTTACTATTAACAGTCCTCCTCCAACCTCAGCATCATTGATGCCGAATAACAAAAACAACTTGGTAGCTTTCACTTTAAGAGGAAAAACCCAACCACCCATTCGGTTAAATAAGACAGGTAAGAGATTAACGCATTCAATTCTAAACTCCTAAAATTTTCCACTCTAGCATAGTCAATCGTCAGAAGTAGAACAACAAAGAACTCAACAAGCGGTGATCCACCTTTAGAACATATCAATAACAGAACCTTTCAAATTATTAACAGACAATCCCCTTTCAAAATGGATCATTGCGATGGTCAAATTTTTAAAACCGAACATTATAAAAATCTAATAACACAATGACTAAACGGGATTAACATTGAGGATTCGACATAGGCTGGTTCGGCGACTATTTCGCCACCAGCTCCGGTAACCTCCTCAGATTTCGATTAAGCCATCACACCATATAGGAAAATGAAATGAGATAACAGAGAAAAAAAAGAAAATAAAAGAAAATGAAACACAAAAGAGACGTTAAGAGAGCTGAATTACCTGCTTGGGTTTCGGCCTGAAGTGCGACTTGAACAGAGCACAATAATCCCAATGATGATAACTATGAATGACTGTAATTGGATCTTGATCTATGTTATACGTTGGCTTGAATTTAATGGATGATACAAGGGGAAAAACTCTGTCCTGTTGTGGTCTATGGATAGTAGCTCAAGTGATGGCTGCGTCAAGGGGACGAAGAGATTCGTAAAAATGGTGAGCAGAATCACCAAAGAAATAATGAAGGATTGCTTTGAGTGTTGCCGCTATGAAGAACTTCCCGCTATTCAAATATCACTGGGTAGAGAGCTTGCGTATGACAGATAATGCTTTCTCCTAATCAGAAAAGAGAGGAAGAGAAGGGAGAAAATCAAGAAGAAGGAGGAGGAAAAGAAGAGGAAGAGGGAGTGTGGAGAGAGAGGTAGAGCGGAGGTGGGTTGGTTGCCACTGCCTCTAATTCGCTGACGCTGAGTTGGGTTCGAACGAAGGGGGAGATGAATAGTGCTTCAAGAGTCAGAACAGTGGATTCCCCCCTCTCTCCCTCTTTTTGCCGAAATGAAGGGTCCGTTTCTTTTAAATGGCGCCAGGGGGTGTTTTTGTAAGTTTTGGGAAATTAGAGGATATTTAGGTAATTTTTGACAAGTTGAGTTAACCGGGTCCAGAGGTTGAACCGGGTTCGTGGTTCAATGATGGGTGGTTTGGGTCAAAAATGTGGAGGGTTAAGATGGGTCTGACCACAAAGAGTGGGTTTGTGTGTGTGGGCTAATAGGATTGACCAAAATAGAATCTTTTTGGATGAAAGGGTTAATGAGGGTATTTTTGGATGAAATTTTGTAAGGTGGGGTCTTCGAACATTCTGATTTGATTGGTGAGGTCAAATTGATCCGATTGGGCCCGAATTGGGTAGATTTGGATGGGATTCAATTTGGTTAATTTGTGAGCTCGAAACAGAATCTTTGTGTGATGAATGGGAAATAAAGGCAATTTTGGGTGAAACTTCTCCGAGTGGGGTTTTTGGGTAGTTTAAGATGATTGGTAAAATCAGATTGAGCCAACTGGCCCAGATCGGGCAGACTTGGAATCAGGTAAATCTGGAGTCTCAAAATGGAATTTTTGCATCATCGAAGGTAAGTGAAGGTGTTTTGGGCTTGAATTTCTCAAGGTAGGGTTTTGGCATGTCCCGAGTCTGATGGTTGTGTCTGATTTACTAGTTGAGGTGTAAGTGAGGGTCGATCGGGGTCATCAGATAGGTATCGGGCAGGTTTAACAATGGATTTGAGGGCTCTCGGGGTGAAATTTGGGTTTTCTGGGTTTTTGGGTGTTTCAGAAAGGTCGGAAGGGTTTGATCGGGTGTTTGGGGTGGATTGAAGGCTCAGGCGGCAGGCTGAGCAAAAATTGGGTGCTGATAGCTGCTATTACCCTCTAGTTTAACACCGACACTCCAAATCTAGCAAGGGACATATGTTTGTTCTCATCAACCAAACACTAGAAGTAGATTCTATAGGATAATAAGTCTCAGCAAACAAACACGGAGACCAAAAAAAAAGAATATAAAACTTTCATTTCTCATCCCATCTCTTTTCATCTCACTGTTTCTCAATAACCAAATTGACCATTAGTGAATTCAGGAGACAATCTGGTATATTTAGATCGAAGAAGGACATCTTCAACTACACTCCTTCTTCACTACATAATGTAATAGAGCATTGCTTTGGGATCTTGAAGGGTAAATTCCCCATCTTGAAAAACATGTCATGCTATTAGTTGGACTTCCAACGACTTCTTATAACGACATGTTTCATAACCTACAATTTCATAAAACGAGAGGCACGTGAGGATGAACACATAAACAAGTGTATAGATGGTTATGAAAATGAATCCAATGGTGATGATGATGGCTCAGATGGTAACGATGAAGAGCATACTACTACTGCATCAGGTTCAAGTAGAGAGATGGACATAGTTAGAGAACAAATTACAACTGCTCTATGAAAGAGGTACCAAATGTCTGCATGGTGATTTGCATGTGAACATGATGTTGTGGTTCAAACTATTATGATGTTGAGATTCAGACTATGATGATGTTAGGATTCAAACCATGTTGGTGTTTATGCTTGTTATTGATTGTACTTGTTTACTACTTACTATTCTAAGTTTGTGTGTGTTTTTATGCTCACTTTTTTGTGGATTATTTGATATTTACTATGCAAGTTTTCCATGTAGAAATGACCGATGAGATGTTTTTACCAAACTACTCTTGTGGTAAAGGGGAAATGGCACTACATATGGCAAGAACAAAAACTAATTACAGACGATGGTTTTTACATTGTCAAATTAGGAATAACCATAGGGGTTCATTCATATGGGTAGATGAATATGATGGAATCCGTCCTAGAGCACCTAGGGCTGAAGTTATCCAACATAGTTCTTCTACCATGTAACCACAACATACCAATAGATAATCTTGCACTCATTGCTTGTTGTGGTTGTAACACCATTTGTCTTTTAATTTTTGTTTGGCTAATACTTATTTTATTAGTCTTGAAACTCATTAAATAGGATGATTATGTTCATAGCAAACGTGACGAGAAAATAGTGCCATTGATAAACATAATGCGTGTAGTACATACTTTGAAACCTTATCCAATTAGCAATTGGACCAATATTAATTAGCAATTGGGCCCAATAGGTGAGTATTTGAAAGGTCTATTACATGAAGAAACATTGTTTGATTAGTTACATTCATTTTCTCTTGAATAGTTTCAAAATACCTAAGATCTACAAAACTATGCCACTATCGACTGATGGACATGATAGACCTATTTACACTCATATCATGGAACATCAATTCCACCCATTGGATTTAATTTTTTGAGGCCAAATAATGTCAATTAATCGTCCAAATAATGTGGAATGTTTGATGATCATTATTATTTTCTTAGGGCATGCACTATTATACACAGTAGTGGGTGTAGCTACATGAAATTCAGTGATGAATACCTCCTTACCAAATAGAACAAAGAGTGAAAAAACGATGCTCACTGTTTATGTGGTAAACACTACCAAACATAATATGGCAAAAAATGGGGTAGTAGGCGTGGCTGTTTTTTTTTTCGAAAAATGGTCCCCAAAAATGGCCATTCTACCAAACACCATCTAAGGTAAAGTGTTTCCATTCTTGCTAAATAACTATTGGCCTTGCTTCTTAGTCTCTACTCCCTAGTCCTTTCACATCTTAGATAGCTTTAAGTCTAAGTAATATAATGACTCTACCTAAATGGGGAATTGTTTTTATTTTTTGAATTGGAAAATTTACATCAAATAGGAAACATAGGATATTGGGGGGGGGGAGTCATACTTTGAGTCAATTTCAAAAACTAATTGAAATAAGAGTATAAGACCCACACTTTATTTCAACAAGCATTATAATAAAGATTCCTAAGCCTTTAAATTTGCCAAACTTAGAGAAATTTTCTGTCATAGTCTTGGACACGTTTTCCTCTTCATTTTCATCATATCTTGGAGAAACATCAAACATGTAATATACCTCTGTGACTCCCCCCCCCCCCACCCAACCTTATAGAGGCTCAGCTAGATCTTATTATTTTTTGTGATAGGGCAGCAAAGGGAACCTTCAAACCGACCCAAACCAAACCTTCAAGTTTGAGTTGGTTTTACTCTATTGTGGGTCAGTTTCAGTTTGGTGAATATGCAACTTTGGTCAGATAGGTTGAACACAATCACTGAAACCAGTCCAACGTGACCTTGAACACCCCTATGAGATAGGATTAACTGAACAATTTAGGCCCCATTTGGCATTGCTCTTACTTGTTTCTATTCCAGGGAATAATTGAAGTGTTTGGCAAATTTTTTCTTAGGAACAAATTTAACAAAAATGACGTTTGGATAAACACTATTGATTCTTAAGACTAGTTCTTCAAAGCCATACACACAAAAAGCATTGTTACAAGTCTTTAAACCTAAAATTAATAAAAAAGGACTAAACATCAATGTATTCAATTGGATCTTATCAACATTTACCAACCAACAGATTGAGCTTCATCCATTAGATCTTCTTCTATCTCATGATTCACATTCTCATATTTGTCGAAAAAGCCATCATCAATACTATCTTTCTTTATTTTGCCTCGAATAAAGTTGTAAATCACAAAAGCAACTACCACTATTCTACATTACATGTGTTTTCAACGAAAATGATGGCATCAACTTCAAAATGGGGAAATACTGTAATATACAAAAAAGTGTAGAAAGTCCATAACAAACAAATTCATTATCATAAGGTTTAAAACTCTAATATTAAGAGTGCAAATCCACCATGGCCCAATAGAATGTTATTTATAGATTTTAGAGCATTAAATATCAATTGTAAACATATAGAAATGCCAATACACGGATATTTTGAACCTTGAATTTATCCATTGAGGAATCTCACAAGAATAAATTGACTAGGACTAAGGTTTCAAATTTCGAAAATTTCAAGCATTCTACTTAAGAGAGAAAACACTATCCTACATTGTGCTTTCAGCAAAAATGATGGCATTAACTTCAAAATGGGGAAGTACTATAATCTACAAAAAAAATGTATGAAAATCCAAAGAAAAAAGTTTATTACCATCTATGTATATACTAAAGTAGTTGAAGCCATCTTAAATGGTCTCTCCTTTCTTCCTTACCCCAATTTGAACTCTCAACCCCTCTTTGCATTAACTTTCCTTGCTCTCTCAAGAAGCCATCTTAGAAATCTCATTTTCCTCTCACATATTGACATTTCAACATAAATGGCCCACTTTATAGTTCTCACGAGAAAGTAGGAAAGTGGGATCCACACATTCAAATAACAAGCATGGGAAATCATTGAAACTTGTTTGTTTTCAACCTAATGTATTTTCTAAAACAGGGGAGCATTTTACTCCTAGGCTCTTGGTTCTTTGAAAACCATTGACCATTGGTGACTAAGTGGGTTGGTTTTGTTATAAACAATAACCTTCGACATTTTTTCGACAGGGGACCTACTTTTTTTGTAGTCAAAACCACCCTTTTTCTAAAAAACAAGGGAGCATATTACTCTAATCACTTTAATAACCGCCAACGATTGATGACCAAATGGGTTGATTTAATGGACTCTAGTGTCATTTTGACAATCTACATTTTTATGCTGTCAAAAGACGTTAAAGTCGGTTTTAACATAAACAATGTTAGGAATAAAGATTGTAGTTGGGTTGGGTTTTGATGCGGCATGATCTGAGCACTTCTAGCTAGTTGCTGATTGGCTCTTATCTGACAACGGGCGACACTTGAGAAGAAGAAGATGAAGGACTCCCAGGGGATTTGCCAGGCGGAAATACTCTGAAGCTTAAGTTAGAACGCTGGGGGATAAAGCAAAGAGTGTAAAGAGGCTAAGAGTGTAGGTCGCGCTGGATCACTGATTTCTCAAGATTAGCTCAAGAGCAAGTAAGTTTCAAATAGGTCTCTGATGTTCGAAAGTGTGCTTCCCCTTAACTAGGGAGCTCTTAT